ACTGATAGTTGCTGTTTCGCGTCGTTAAAATAAACAAATTTAAACTAAAATAACAAACAAAAGGTATGTCGTGTCTGTGCGTGAGCTTTGTTTGGCCACAGGCTGTATTAGTGTGGCGATGCGTAAGAGATACTACGTAAAGTGCTGTTCCTACTTTGGGGAGTAGATGTGAAATCGCACAGGGTGCGCCGGAGGAGTTCCGATAATTTTAATTAAAACAACAGATAATATTGTGTTTTAATTCAAATGCTTATTCACAAGTTTATTCAGTTCGATAGAGTTCGTACAAAGTTCGATTAAGAACTTTACTTAATTTGCCCGAGTGGCGGTTGCGGCGGCGTTTATAAAGTGAGTGAGCACCGCTTCATCGGCGAGGAAGAGTCACACCGTACACTCAATTACAATACATTTGACTACTACAATGCAATTTCGAAAATACAAAGCAAGATGAGGTGACCGACCGTGTGTACAATATTATTCGAAAGCAGTGAAATTAATTTACACTAGCAAATTAACATATATGAAACGGTAACGGGAAGAGACGCTAGAAAATCACGTTGATTTTCAATCATTTTTTTTTTTGTTGATGGTGCTAGACACTTTCTCCCATACACACAAAATTGTCGAGCATATTTTATATGGAAGAAAATGCGAAACACCGTCCGCCAAAAAAAAAAAGATTAAAAATCAACGCGATTTTCTAGCGTTTTGAAATTTGCACTTTAACCTACTAAAATTTAATGAGCTATAAAATTGCATACCCAAAATTTTTCTAGAAATTCTGAATAAAAAGTTTAAAATTTTCGAGCGCAAATGTTTGTTGAATATTCATAATTTTTGTATGAAGTTTGAAATGTGGATTTATATGGGGCTGGTTAGGTAATGTGCTGCACTTTTATAAAAAAAAATATAAACATTAAATAAACAAAATAAAAATTGCCAAAACTAGGCAACATCTCACTTAGCTTAATCAGCTGACCACAAGGGGTCATACATACATACATATGCGTGTAGGATAGTAGCCACGGATACTTTTTTTTTGCATTTTCATTGCAACTATTAGTAATAAATTTATGATGAATTCTCTTATTTGTTAGCCCTAAAACCAAAAAAAAAATTGTGAAATTTTTAATTGAAAATCTCCAATGAATGCATTTTATTATTTTGTGGGCTGTTTTCCATGATTATTTATCACCTTAGAGCCATTTAGTTGAGCTTGCGCTAATTATAATTATTTTTGACCTTTCCCTGGAGAATTGCTCATTTTGCAAAGGTCGTCAACGAGTTGACGGCAAAGTTAAACGCCACTATACTTTATAAATTTGAAAACATTTTTGTGCGGATTACACTCACTTCATTCATTAGCGCCGCCTGTCAGTTTAGCAAGCAAGCAAAACTTCCAATGTCCGCTGATTTTATGTAGTAGTTGTTGTGCTCCTCAAACTTTTTGTCAACTTTTACATGTCGCCCTGTAACGGTGGTAAAAGTTTGCAGCCGGCTGACTCTGTGTTAAAGTTCGCGTATAAAGGGGTGTAATTACATAATATTTTTGCACAAATACACGTTTATACCAATTTAGCAAGTATAATACAAACTTGTTCCTTTAAAAGTGATATGTGCACAAAAAATTAAATTGCGCTATTAGTGTGGTTTTATTGTAAATGTAGTGTTATGGTATTTTATAATTATTATTTTTTGGTTAACAACCCACATGCTTACATCTAAAAATGCTTGTTAAACGAAAACTGTTATATATGTATATATATTTTTATTTTTCAATTTTTTTTTTTTAGATATTTGCTGAACTTTGCCGGCCACTTAGCAAACCACACTCGTCTATTTGCCATCAGATTTTGTGCAAAAACGTGTTTTGCTGAGGGATACAATCTGGCTGATTCAATATGTGCAATATCTCTGTGCAAGCACATGCATACATACATACATACATACATACATACATGCACACAGATGCCAAAACTTGCTTAAATCTACACACATATATGTATATGTATGTCAATATGTTTGTGCGCTGCAACCATTTATGCATTTTTGTGTTTTTTGTCTAAGTTTTTTTTTTTTGTTGGTGTGATGCAACATTAAGCGGTCGATTCGCAAATTGCTTGAGGCCGAAAATCCAATGAAAATATTTAAATAATTTTCAATATAAAAATAGATATCTATGTATGTGTATGTAAGTACTTACATGCAAGCCCTCGAAGGATATCGGCTGCTAGTAATTCAAAAAATTACTCATTCAAATTGCGTAACAAGCTTACTGTACATTAGAGTGGTCCATGTTTTGTATGGGGGAAAAAAATTTCATCACAGGAAACGGGGCACCCTTTAATATTTTTCCTTTGATATTTGTAATATCTATACCAACTTTAAATTTTCTACTGTAACCAATACTGGGTGCTCAATGACCCTGAAATCCTCTACTGGATTGCTTTGAAACTGACTGAAATATTGGCGATTTTTTTTTAGGAAATTTAAAATTGAAATATTCTCAGGTTTCTTTACCATTTTTTTGTTTAATATATGCACAAAAAACTTTTTGAGTAAAATATAAACATTTCATGAATATCTCCTAAGTTTATGCTTAGAAAGGTGGTGAAAGTTTGGTGCCAGCACCTCTTTCGGCAAGAGAAAAAATTTTGAAAGGTGCCCCAAATCCTATCTCGGAGATATAATAACGACAAAGGTCAAAATTCAAAAAAAACCTTACCGCGGTTAAGTGACTCATGTCTGTTCTCCTTGTCTAATCCATGTCTCATACTTAGTAAATTAAGTAGTAAAGGGTAGACATGTATTAGACAACAATAAGAAACATGAGAAACTTAATAGTAATGTGTGTATCCAGTTCATCATTTAGATATACCACGGAAAGGCTCGGGGTCATGCGAGCGCGCTAAATTTTACGAGAAAGTCAGCCCTTTCGTTGCCTTCAAACCATTCACCTCCCGCGACCCACCATAGCGTGAATCCAATGCGAGCTAACAGGTGGTTACTATATAAACGAAATTCGTTACTTTCAATCAGGGCTTCGGAGCAAAGGTTTTTTTTCATCGCCCCGCTCTAGCTTTTTTTATTTATTTATTTATTGCATGAATCGCAAAAAAAAAAACGTAGGCGAAATTTTTTTGACAATTTTCTTTTTGATGCAGAAAATCATCTAGACGCTTTAGAAGCACTTCTGCACCCAAAAGAAAAAATTCTACAACATTTTTTGGTAGTTAGGGCTCGATATGTATATACATGTGTATGTGCTTTTATGGATCGACATATATGTATGTATATGTATGAACAACTCTTTACATGATCCCAATGTATGTAGTTTGCCTTGTAAATAAAATGATATACATATATTAAGTCATCGTTTTTTCATCGCCGTTCAAATTCACGTGGCAATTATCCCTGACTGATGGTCATTGCGCAATAAACAATATTGCCAAATAAAATAAATAGAATGGAAGATTTTGTAAAACTAGAGTTGGGAAACTATCGATAGTCACACCATCGATGGTTTTCGCAATTTCTGGAAAGATTACCGATACTAACGCGATAGTATCGTTATTGTCATATTATCGATCGTTAAGCAATTTTCCGGAAAACTATCGATACTATCGTGATATTATCGTAAAAAAAAATAATAAATAAAGTGTTAATGATAATTCGCTTTGAACGATTTTAAAGGAATTTTATTCAATTCAATGAAAATGCAAGGATATTACCTGCGCTTCGAATGTTCCAGAGAAAGGATAGTAACGGAATTAACTATGTAAATGAAGTATCGATAGTTTTTTAAAATCATCGAAAGTGTTGGAAAATTAATTTGGAATTTTACACGTTTCAGTGGCAAAAATAACAAAAATTTAAGTAAATGTTTCAACAGAAGATTTTTCTTTAAGGAGCAAATGAATTTTTTTAGCTCTTAGCTCCTTGCTCCGCTCGGCTCCGAAGCCCTGCTTTCAATTATCGTTGCTTTGGTGCTCTACAGTTCTGAAAAGGGTGCCTGGAAACCATATCGGTTTTCGCTGCAAAGGAAGTATGTATGTATGTTAGTTTTTATTTGAACGTTTGAACATAAATTTGCACATTTGTATGTATGTATGTACGTATGTTATGTGTATATGTGCGCGCATGAAAACCCCCATTCATTGCATATTGAATATTTTAATGGCAGCCCATTTAGAGCGGATATCCTTTGATGAGTGCTTTGTCGGCATTCAATCGGTGAGCAAAAAAAAACCCAAACTTATAGTAAAAGTTGTGCGGTAATTGAAAGTTATAAAGTATTCTTCTTTTTTTCTGCACTCATCGTTCAGTTTCGGAAGTCTCGCAATTGAATTGAGCGAAGCACCATCGATGGTATTCAAAGCTTCAAAGCTTCAAAGCAATAACATAAAGTTAATGTTTATAAATTTCAAATAAAAATAAGTCGCTACATACTCGCCATGACTCGTTGATGAATACCACTTACAAATAATTATATAGGTACTTACTTAGTAAAATATATTTCACTAATTAAGTACACAAAGTTTGACTTTTAATGACTATGGAATGACTACTAACTAGACTACTTACTTGTGCTGCATACTTTGATACAATTTTAATTGAGCTTTTTAAAGATTTATTTTATTTTTTTTTTTTTTCATTCTTTCAGCAGTGCCCGCCAATGAAAGTGATTGCTGCTTGGCGTGATGAAGTGGAGGGCGTGTAATATTAAAAAAAAAAAATTTTTTTTTAAAATTTGCCAATAAGGACACAAGTTCGAGAGACATATGTATATCTAAAAGTATTGGTATAGACGCTGTTACACGCTGTCACACAGCCGCACTCAATGCGATTACATAGACATATTGAAAAAGAGACCACCAACGCAATTTTTTTAAGAGGGAAGAGCAGCAAAAGAAATCAAATTTCTTGCCATTTTTGCTTTATATATTCAATAAAATATTTCCTTCAAAAGCAGATAGATGGCTTCTTCATGCAGCACAGCATGTGAAAATAGTAAGAAAATAATTGCTCTGACATGAATGGGAAAACACTAAAGTACCCCGAAACCAACCTCCCCCGTGGGGAAAAAGTAACGACGAGTGCTTAAAACAATAAATATTAAATTGAACTTGAAATGGGCAGCCGCAAAAGCAGCGTAGTCGAAGCAGTTGGCGATTGCATCTTAAGCCACAGCAGCATCAGCACCAACAACAACAGCAGCCGCCGGTCATTGGCGACCACAAAGCAAACGAAAGGAGCAAGGAATTCAAAGGCACACTCATTACCGCAGGCTATAGTTGTTGTTTGTATACTACAAGGGAAACAAGCAGAGGAACAACCACGAAAGAGTGACGACACACTTACACAGAAAACGATTAAAAAACTCACCACGACTTACGCATCACAACAACAGCAGCGACAACAACAAAAGCAGGAAAACCCATCACTATTTCGACGACAAACAGCCGTCGCCGAAGACATCACCAGCTGCTACGCCATTCACTTTTTTTTCATTGTCATTAGCGTAAGGAACAACAAAATTGGTATAGACGTATTGCTGTTGGTGCAACATAGCATAAGCAATACTTCGGAAATGGTGGTCACGTGGCCGCAAGTGCATACGGCTACCAGAGGTGGTGCCCGTCATTGTAGGAGCCATAACAGCAGCAAGCGTGCTAATCGTAGCAGCTTAAGCAGCAGCAATAACAACAACACCTTGAACATGTTCAACATACCGGCAATTAATGGTAGTACGGCAAGCAATGTCAGCAATAGCAACAACCATACCGACGGCAACAACAGCAATAACTTTGGCAGTCAAACTGGTCGAGCCATTATGTCCGTTGCAACGACACTCGCCTCCACTTCGGCAACAATGGCAATGGCCAATATACCCACCACCAATTTATTACCACCGCCCACCACCAGCACGACAGAGAGCATCTGGACTGCCAGCTTCGACGAAAACAACTGGACACTTGACGGCGTTAGCTGGCCAACAATGAATCAAACATCGACGGACAAAGTCGATCTAATTGAAATGGATTTAGCAGCAAATGAAACGTTAAGGTAAGTATTTGAAGCAAACTTTGTGTGTGTGTGTGTGTGTGTGTGTGTGTGTGTGTGTGTGTGTGTGTGTGTGTGTGTGTAGGCTAATATTATTGCATGCTTGGCGAGTGCCAAAATGCTCATTTGAAGTAATGGGTGGAACGCTAACTGAGTCGGATGCGATTGCTTGAGGATAGAGGAGGATGGAAAGAAGAGCGAAACTCTTGAGCTCCATTGACAAGCGAAGAGTGATAGCTTGAAAATAGATTGGAGAGTGACACATAGCACGAAGGCAAATGACATTTGCTGACACTGATTCAGTTCACAGTAATATCTATTTGATGAGTATTTAGCTATTTCGTGAATCAACTGCGAGGGTGCTCTAATGGAAAATGGAAGCTCCCTTCTCTTCAAAATTGGTTCGGATAAAAAATGTCGGTTATATTCTTGAAAATTTGGTAAATAGGAGAATTCAATATGGCGGAAAGAGCTGGAAAAATTATTGGATTCACTTGAAATTTATTATTCGGGTATTTAGAGGATGTTTACCGATTTTTTTATCTGAAACAATTTTGAAGAAATTTTAGGTTAATCTAATAATTTTTCAAAACTCTGTGCGCCATATTGGATTTTTTACCTGAACCAATTTTCAGCGGACGAAGAATACCGCTTATAGTATTTTTTTTTTTAAGTTCGTTTAATTTATGTAGAGTTTAATTAAAAAGCTTTTATTGAGCTTGAGGTCGTTTTTTTGCAAATAATTATTAAAAATAACACTAGTTCTATAAATGGCAGAAGTTATAGGTGCTATTTCGGAGATTACCATATCGCCTCATCAGACTTCTTCATCGAGGTCACTGAGATTCGAACCAGCTTAGCAAGACCACTGTCTATCCACTGCGCTAAGGTCGCCTCATAAATTGTTTTTCCACTTTTTCACATGTCAACCCAACTACAATCAAGGGCCGCTATTCTGCTGCTATTTAGACTTGATTATGTGGTTAATGTTTTTTTTTTTGTTAGTTCAATTTCATTTCATTTAATAAACAAGAACAATTAGTACAATAAGAATTTTCTTCTCTTTTAGCACAACAAAAATTTGCATTAATTGAAATTAATAACACATAAACTATTACAAAATTAACATAACTATACAAATGTAAAATAAAATATAAAATATAGGGACTTAAACTAATGTTAATGGTCGCTCCAGTTAATTGGAGAAATGAGAATATATGATTTTTTATACCCGAGCGCACTTGTGCACAAGGGTATTATAACTTTGTTCACATAACGGTTGTTTGTAACAGCCAAAACGAAACGAGATAGATATAGACAAATGTGTACATAAATGATCAGGATGAAAAGAGAAATCGATTAAGCGGTGACTGTCTGTCCGTCCGTCCATCCGTCTGTCCGTCCGCCTGTGCACACGATAACTCGAGTAAAAATTGAGATATCTTAACGAAACTTGTTACGTGTAATTCTTTCCGGAGTGGGGCGGATGGTATTGAAATGGGCAAAATCGGACAATAACCACACCTACCTCCCATATAACGGTAATTTTCAGAAATACGAAAACTGCGATATTTTAGTAACTAATGCATATTATTCACTCAAAATTGATATTTACAATAATTTCAAGACGAAAAACAAGAAGAAGATTTTGAAAAATAGGCGTAGCCACGCCCACATATGGTTACATGTGTATATCTTGGCAACCGCTGCACCGATTTCTTCCAAACTTGGCACAGTTGTTGACCCTGGTACAGCATAACCACGCCCACATTCCATATAAGGGTAATTTAGAGAAATACAAAATCTTCGATAAATCAGTAAATATTAAAGATAATTTATTCGCAATTGATTCTTGCAACAATCCTTTACCAAGAAATACGTTTATGATAAAATTTTGGAAAATGGGCGTGGCACCGCCACATATGATCACATATATATCTCGGTAACCGTTCTACCAATTTGTTCCAAACTCGGTGTTGTTATTGTACTTGCCACATAGAAGCAAAACGTTGAAAATTATTGAAATCGGACTAAAATTACGGCCGCTTTTCATATAACGGTAAATTTCAGAAATGCTTGAAACTTCAATATTTCGAAATTTAAGGACTCTAATTTACTCAAAATTGATACACCCCGGCTTACCATGTAGCGGTAGCTTTCGGTAAGGTGAAAAGGCATATATGTAATACTTGCGCCGGGTATTTAATGTTCGGCTCCGCCCGAACTTAGACTTTCTTACTTGTTTTTTTTTTTTATTTTTAGATTTTATTATTTAAGAAAGAAAATATTTTTTTGTTTTAATAACAGTCAATTTTTAGAAACTTATTTAATATTTTTAATTTTTAAGGTTTTCTGGTTTAAAAGGAAAAGTGTACCTTTTTATTTCTTAAATTTACTTTATAAACAATTTTTTTTTTTGTTTAAATATATATTTTTTCAATTTGATGAAAGTTTTAGGAACATTTTAAATTATATTTATTTTTTCGTTTTTGATTAAAAAACGGAAACGCTTTTTTTATTGACGGTAGGTCATCCTAATGAATTCACAACGATTTTGGAAAATAATAAAACATGGACGTACAAAAATACAAAAAGAAAGAAAAGAAAGAAAAGAGGTGTATCCATAGATATACACATATCGCCTGTCAGCGCACGAACCATAGCTTCTTTGGTTCATTCATACATATTTTGAATGAAAAAAGCAACTCCTCGAAGCGTCAATTAAGTAAACGTGACATATTTCCTTAGAAAATATTATAAAGTAAAAAATTCACTGACGAATAGCTAGCGAGCCAACCAATTTGTATGGCCAGATATGCGAGAAATAAGTTTTCCAACGACTTTTCAGGCGAATGCAGATGAATATTTAAGACAAAAGTTGCAAGCACTGACGAATATTTTATTTTATTTTTTTTTTTGTTTTTTTTTTTTGTTTTTACTGGTTTACTCCCCTTTCTTTCAACATTTCAAAGTAGTTTTGCAACAAGCGCTTCTCTGTGTGTGTCTTTTGGCTTTTTTCTACCTCGACAGCTGTTTGAAGCTCTTAAATACATTTGTTACAATGCTTGAAGTAACTAATATTTTTGCGTCTACATTGTACCTTTTATTCGACAACATAACTACTTACCTACCTACCCTACATATAAATGTACATATAAATTTAATTGCTTTTACAATTGCAGTGGCACATATCCAGCACTGAGGCGTTACCATGGCGACTATGACGTTTCATATATAGCAAGAATAAATCCATTTTGGTTGCAATTCGAACCGCCAAGTACGCGCACTTACTACATTATGGCCATAATCTATATCATCATATCGAGCGTCGGTTGTCTTGGCAATTCGCTTGTTATATTTATGTTTTTACGGTAAGTGCACATCTAGAATATAATGTTAATTGATATACTATTACATACTTACTTGAGTGCACAGAGCGGTGATTCAACTCTGTTGAAATTCAATCAATTTCCTTCGCTTGAGAGATAAAGTAGAATCTTCGAGTAAATTTGCTATTACTTAATTATATATAAAAAAAACAAAATCAAAGGAAAAATCTATAAAAAAAAATACAGTATCACGTTAGGTTTCATTTGGCAAACATTGTGGGCGATACTGTTGCAGCATGCGAGCGGTCTGGAGATTTCACTATTCTTGGAAGCTTCGTCTTTATTCCTGTTAGTATGGGTCGCTGCGTGGTTAGTGTCGCACCAATTAGCACTTTCTATACTCATATCCTCCTAGGGATGAAGTATGTAGAAGCCGAAAGCGAGACATTGGTGAATTTTTACACGGATGGGAGGTGTATTTTGTAGGGAACTCTCTATTAATCTCAAATTTTGTGGTTTCATATAACTGTAGTTTTTCCCAGTAGAGGTCGCCTTTGAGGAAGCAGTCGACGTGTCAAGTGGCAATCAGGGTGATGAAATCGTTCAGATGGCGCTCTAGCCTAGTAGGAGCTTAGGTTATTTCACTTTGTGCCAAATTGAAAAATTAACTGCCGATTGAAGTAAAATGGGGCCAAAAATGGCATCGTTTAAGCCAAGTTGGCAGTCCCGATAGGTATATTGCACAAAAATGGCGCTGCAATTGATTTGGCCAGTCCAGCTACTCTTGAGTGCTTGAGAGAGAGTGGAGATACCTTTGGCTACTTGCGAACTACCCGTGGACAAATGGACCTTGCGTTAGCAAAGGCACAGATTCAAGAGGTCAAGGGATCTTTTTAGGCTCACAAAGTCTCAGCGATCAAGCTTTCGGCCAAGTGTGCCCTCGCTTAGGGCAACCACTTTAACATAACCGTAGGGAAGTTCTGAATATTACTATTATTATTACTATTTATTATTAGCTAACAGTTTCAGAGTACAGATCTGAGGCTAAAAATTTCCGAGGAAAATTTCTTTCCAGACCGCGAAATGGTTCAAATCATTAGCAAACCGGTTGTTCCTTCTATTAAAATGAGACGGACTTTTTATTCTCTGCTCACGCTAGTACCATTTTCCAAGATGGCAGAAGATTTTTACAACATACAACTCAATTACCTCAGTCATGGTATCTCTCCTGATAGACAGCTGCTTGGTTGGATTCATAAAACAAGTGTAAAACAAGGTGTTTTAATTCGGAGGTTAGGTATATCTGGTCTTCTAACAGTTCGAGAGCGATCACACTTTTCTCATATTCGTCCTACGCAACCTCTCTTATCCCTTACGTTGCACTGTCTTATTGACTTAACCGTCATGAGACTTGGAATGAACCCACTAGACCATTGCCGTAATTTCACAAACATAGAAAAAAAAAACGAAAATGTACAACACATTATACGAGTATGCCACTGACCGACATTAAGTCGAGAAATTTTCGTCTGCCTTGCAGAAATCTGACAGTTCGGTATAAGGCGTCAACAAAGTGGTTTGCATCCCATTATTCTTCTTAAGTGAATAACCTACTTATCGGTCTTATTAAATCAGCCACTTATGAATAAAATGCACACGACGACACGCCCGATTGAGCAAACAGTGACTAAATACTTGAGTGGGAGATTATTTGATGAAGGACGTGCGGTGCGATGAGGCATACAGGTGAATGGTACTAAATACACCTGACAACTGTCTTCTGAGTAGGCTGCATAAAGTGTTGACTAAGCAATTGCAGTTGTGGAATCAAAGTGGAGGGGGAGAGGGGAGTCTGTTGACCCTGGTACATTTGTTGAGTTTGCCACATGTGCAAGAATATACAACGATACAAATGGATCTACATAAATACATAAATATTTCAAAAATGCTGAGGTTTAATATCCTTCATAGAACTTCAAATAGTCCTACGCTTGGCGTTTTCTGTCTCTTCCCACAAAATGGCCAAGACACTTATACTGTACATGCGCATGCACACACATACATACAATTATAAATAAATAGTTATATATATATTTAGTATGTATGTATGTGCATCATGTAATTAGTGCCGTTTATTACGTTCTTATTTATGTCGGTTCACATGTTTAGGGCTTCCGTCACCGTCAATGTAGTAATTCCTTTCAATGCAATTCTTAGAAAAAAAAAATTTATGAAAAATAGAAATTAAAAACTTAAGCCACTTGATGTATGTACCCGCGACAAATAAGGTTTAGAACAAAGAATTGTGTGAAACTTGTTTCGAAAGATTTAATAATATAGTACGCTACATAATAATAGTGGTAACAAGCAACAAGGGTCATTTCTCTTACGTGAGTTTCTCTGTTGTCCATGCGATACTCATTCCCACATAAGAATTTCTGAGAATGATAATATAAATAAGTAGGTGCGAGACAATGCAAGATTTTACACAAGGCAAGCTATGTATGTAGAAATTTAACCAGAAATTAAAAATTAATTTTTATACTGAATTTCCACGTAACATTGAATTATCAAACTGTATGTATGTCATTAGAAAAATTTTTTGTGAAAAGATTTACAGGCCAATGTTGGCAACTGTCTTCAAACTCACCACAGTCTTCACAAAAACAAAAACATTCTGTTTAAAACAATAAAATCTAAAAATAAAATTAAAAAGAAAAATATTAACAAAGGAGAATAAAATTGGTTCCTAAAAATTAATATAATATAATCTAAAAATTAAAAGGCAATTAAATCGAAAAAATATATCAAAAAAATATAAAAATAAAATAAGTACCTAAAAATTAAACGCAATTAAATTAAAATATATTGTTTTTTACAATAAAATCTAGAAATTGAAATAAAATAGGAAAATAATTTAATTAAAGAAAACAAGAAGAAATGTGTTTCTAAAAATTGAAGTAAATAAAAAAATAAAAACCTAAAATAAATTACAAATAGAACAAATAAATAAAAACAAGAAAATAAAATAGGTTTAAAAAAAATAATTGAAATTAAAAAATATGTATATTTTTCTTTTTCAAATTATAAAATCTAAAAAATTAAAAAAAAACTGCCGCATCTTCAGTACTCGCAGTATCTCGTGCTTTGCCCACTCGGCCATTGGGACTGTTGGAGCAGCGCGAGCAAAATGGTATACGAGTGCTTTCTGTCAAAACAGCTTTTTACCTTAGAAGTTGGCAAGAGAGCTTTTTTTTAGAGTTTCGTGACAGAATAAACAAAATCTTTCAAAGTATCTTGCCTGCTGTCTTTCAATTGCCTTACAACTCGATTATGGTTTCGTATAGCCAATAAAAACCTTCGGTGAGACGCCCCATCTCTACCCTATTACCTCTTGACAGCAGTGTAGAGCCATTGCTGCCTTTTTTACGCGGCCTTCAATATTCGGTTCCAACATAACTTCTTGCCTTTGATCGGGTCCAAGTACTTGGCCTGGTCAGAAAGCATAGTTAAAAAGCCCCCTAACGAGCACAAATTTATATCTCCAGGTAAATAGAACGAGCTCCGACTTTTGGAATCGTGACCAAATTTTAGCAATTCATATTTTTAGAAAAGGGTGTAAGTAATTCCCAAGTAGATTAAAAAAAGAAATCTGCAGAAAAATAACTATGTACATGTGTATGTTTGTTGTTATGTTATGTTTAGCTCAGAATCCGACGACAATGCAATATTAAAAATGAATTAATTCACTGTAGCGCGGGAGTAGAGATATTTGAAAAAACCCCCATTTATAGTCCAAATTGATTCATATTTGAAATGTATATTACCTACATAAAAGGAAATAAATCCACAAAAAGTGAAGCCGGTAGGTAGCGCGGGGATCGATATATTTCGAGAGGGGAATCACTCTACAAAAAAACTTGCCGGTAGGTGGCGTAGGAGTCGAGATATTTGGGGAACCTGGTCCGATTTGCTTCATATTTAGAAGGCTTGTTTTAAAAAGATTTTTTTTTACTATTAACTTATTTCATAATACATCTAGGTACATATATATATGTATTATACACCTGCACTTAAATAAGTAACGAAAGTTTCTTTATTATTTTGAGTTTAAGCTTAAAATGTCGTGTGAAATGTTGCATACCCTAAAATTCCGAATCTACACCATAGTAGCTTCATAATTTCATACAAAATTTTGTGTAACAAAAAAGTTTCCAAAGTACTTACGTATAGTTGTTTACAAATAACGCATTAATGATGACCTCGTTACTTACATATTAACGTACATATGTATGTATGTATGTTTATAAGTAAAGTTATGAAGTCTTCTTAAGAAGGGCATGTCTCTTGCTTTACTCAATTACACAAAATATTTATTAAAATTTTAATCGCTTTTTCTATTTCTTCAGCTGTAAGTCCTTACGCACACCTGCAAACACATTGGTTATCAATTTGGCTGTGAGCGATCTGCTCATGTTGATGAAATGTCCCATTGCCATTTACAATAACTTCAAACAGGGCCCGGCGCTGGGTGATGCTGGTAAGTAAAACCGAAATATTTGAATTTCTTAGTTTGTATGAAAAGAAAATAACCACTCCTGAAGTTGTGAAGGCCTACGTAACTAGGTGTCCATATGTATTTATATAAAAAATCGCCACATTTTTCTAATGCTTAATTTTCTTTCCCCCCTTCGCCTGCAGGTTGCCGCATTTACGGCTTTGTCGGCGGCCTTAGTGGCACCGCATCGATCGGAACCCTAACTGCCATAGCACTCGATCGCTACAATGTGGTCGTACATCCGCTCGACCCGCTACGCAAGACAGCCAAAGTGCGATCCGCATACCTAATCACAATGATTTGGATCTACAGTTTTGCCTTCTCCATTGTGCCGGCGCTGGATATTGGCCTCTCCGTTTATGTACCCGAAGGCTTCCTAACCACCTGCAGTTTCGATTACCTGGACAAGGGATTGGGGCCGCGCATTTTCATGTTTGCATTCTTCGTTGCCGCCTGGTGTGTGCCCTTTAGCATCATCTGCTTCTCGTATTTCTACATCTTGAAAGTGGTCTTTGCCGCCAATCGCATACAATCGAGCAAAGAGAAGAATAAAACTGAACAGAAATTAGCATTGATTGTGGTGGGCATTATCGGTTTGTGGTTTCTAGCTTGGACGCCCTACTCCGTCGTCGCTATGTTGGGCGTTTTCGGCAAGGAGAAATATATCACGCCCCTGGGCTCAATGATACCGGCGCTCTTTTGTAAAACAGCCGCCTGCATTGATCCCTACTTCTATGCGGCGACACATCCACGTTTTCGCATGGAATTTCGTCGTCTATGGTTGGGGCGTGGCCATTTGCGACGTACCTCTACGACGCGTTCATCATATCTAACACGCTCGTCAACGCGACGTTTGCGTGTTATTAGCGATGTGGATATGCGCAATCGCAGCAATGAAAACGCGAAAAAGCAAAATAATTTACAAGCTCTGCAAGAAGTGACGGAAGAAAACGATGAAGATTATGATTTTTCGATACCGGGAAATTTTAGTGATGCCATCGAACAGAGTCGCTTCTAATAAATGGAGATTAGTGTGTAAATAACAATGTTGTTGTAGTTGTAGAAATCTATAGTTAGGGGTTACCCTTAAACTCTTTAATTCTTAAACTATGTAAAACTCGAAAGTTTACGGGGCTGTTACGGGAACGCCCCCCCTTTTGCAAATGTGTAAAAATTTAGGGGCGTAAAGTGAAGTGTTTTACAAGTTGAAAAGGGTTTTGTGAATGCATTTTGTTTCGTAGTATTTTTCATAATAGCCCGTCAGCTCGAATGAATGCTAAAATATAATTAAAACTGCGAGAATTAACAGAAAACCCACGTAAATACAGTTAGTTGATGAAATTTATTAGTTTTATTCACGTATTTTTCTTTTTTCATCACACATTTTAGTATAAAATCTTCGGGCCCGCGGCAACACTGAAGCTTACGAGGTCGTTTGCGCATCAAATTTGCCTCGTAAATTACGAGAGGCACGTAAATAGAGCTCCATGCAAATTTTGACAGTTCTTTTACGAGCTCGTAAATTTACGAGCTTTACGAAGCTTTCACAAGTTTAAGGGAAGACCCCTAGATTTGTAACTAGTTTAGGCAGTAAGACGACACAATGCGAATTGACAGTAAGAGAAAAAAAAAAATACTCAATGCCACCAAAAATGCCATTTCAGTTAGGTCATTGAGATTCCATGAAACCTTCGTTTGTTTTTTTAAAACTTAAGAATAATAAATATGTACGCATAAATACATATACAGTTAGAGAATATACTATATTTATATAAATAAAAATAGATTTTATTGAGTGTGTATATTCGAGTTTTGCTAGTAAAATAAGGCTTTGCAACTGATCTTGAAGAGACTTTTGATAGATGAATGCTATGTAAAACTTAGTTTAGTATGTAAGTCTGCATATGAATGTTGTTAGAAAATGTTATGGTGTCATTTTATAAATCACTCAAAAAGATGTCTGACTTATTTAGGGAATAGTCCCCGAAAATATCGACATAAGCTTTTAACTGTAAATATTTCAAAAAATATTCTCCAAAATTTCGACTTGTTGTCAATCATTTGCATGTATGCATGCAATATTGAGACGCATGTGTCTCAAATAATATTTAACTTGTGTCAAAACAGGTTAAGGAGAAAAATTTAAATTGCTACGAAGAGACGGGTTAAAAATACCTTTTGATTTGTCTTAAGCAGGGATCACACGATCTAGAAATAATGAGTTCAGCTCAATAACAACTTTTCAAACAACACCACTCTGTAACTGTGAAAATATACAAATCTGTACAAATCGTGTGATCCCTGCTTTAGCTGCTTTAGATTCTTTCGCTCTTTAGTGGCATAAGGCGATAATCTCTTCACACTTTTTGGCTTATTATCTCAACGAAGCTGAATTATATGATACTTTTCTTAGGTATACTTAAACCAGTGGCATTGCGTTTTTCTAATCAAAGTGTATTGACATTATTTCGATGTCGTACCCTACTTATAAGAACTTTTCGCGTAGTTATTAGCGCTCAAAAATTTCCGTCTCCATATAAATTATGTCAAAATCCGCAATTGGAATTCGGAAAACTTATAGGAGGGTTTGAACCTAGATATATGTTTTTGCTTTTTACTGTAAATTATAAAAACTTTTTTATATTGAACACGCCCATGCAGTGAAATCTTAGTGGCATTTCCCAAATGGAATTTGCATATTTCACTCAAAAGCCAATCTACAAAAAGTTTTCGTACCTACATTAAGATAGGTACATTATGTCGCAGTTGCTTTTCCATAAAAAAAACATGATTTTGATCGAGAATTCCGTGTATTTTCTTACATATTTGTCTGTATCTTCATATCCGGGAAATACTGCACTTGCAATCGTCACAGCAACGAGCGAATCAATCGCCCCAACCTACAAAGTTCGCTCGAAGCACACACATATCCAATTGATCGCGTCAGTGTGTGAGTTTGCTCTTCATCGATTTAGATCAATAGTGGTCACACTCACGTAAACGGTCAATCGTTTACCTCTGGGGGAAAATGAGGAATGCATTACTTTTTTATTCAGCAAAACTTAAAGATTGCAATTCAACGGAAACATGAATTATATTTGACCACCAGGTGAGTTTCTCTGTAAACCAAAGTCTCTTTTGCTGATTAAAATTGTAGACTATGCAAGTCTGAAAGCAGCTCGAGAACCGCGGTGGGTGTTCTCATTGAACTACTTAGTGACGCCCACGCAACAGGTAGATCGTTGGAGTTAGCTGAGCTTGGCCTGCGTTGGCTTCATTTCGGTTTGCTTGCCCAAGATGTGGGTTTCGTTCAATTTAATAAATTAGGTCGTCACCTAAAATGATTTTATGCTGCGAAATAACATCGTGGACATCTTGTAAAAATCTAAGGCGTTTCAAATCTTCTAAACATGGTAGGTTTACGATCTCATTTTGTCGTATATTTTGTTGAAAATATGAATACAAGTTCCATGTATCGCATAGCTCTTGGTCATCAGTCTCGCGATCTTGTATATCATTATCAGCTTAATCTCACAGACACAGAAGAAGTTTGAGTCCCTAAGACGGAAGAATATCCTGTGATGATTCGAGATCCCATAATGATTAGAGTATAGTTTAAAACGCCGCCGACTCTAACATCGAAATATTTCAGCGCAGTCGATGCACGCAAAGTACCGGTACTTACCATACCGGTATTACCGATCACAAAGACAACATACCGGTCTTGGTTCCGGTTCTTATATATGAAAACGATCGATAACTTAAACATAAGGTTATCATTGGAGGCTGGTATAGACTTCTGGGCCAAACTGTGATAACATTAGAGAACCAAATTCAAGCTCAGTCGGATTTTTTTTGGCCGAGTTAACGATTGTTGAATGTAAACCAAAAGAAGTGGATCTAGTAATGGCACCATTTTCTTTTATCTAGGGTTCCCGCTTTAAGATTTTGATCAACAGAGGATTTTTCTAGAATATATGTATACATTCTTTTACTAAATCGAAGTAAAAAAGGCTGGTAAAAATTTGGTTTCGGTTCATCTTTAAGTTTCAAGATCATCTCGAAATGTAAACTGCAACATTGATTGAAAATTTGATTTGCGTATTTAAAGTTGTTTTAAAATAAATTAAAGCAAAAAGATCCCTTTTTAGTGCAAATAGATGATAAAGAGGAAAATAATTGTGTGAATAAGTTCTTAAATATTTACGAGTATGCTAGGCTACTTAGCAATAAGAATAATATAAAAAATTCAAATTAGTATTTACCTAGGCAATTTATGAAATTTTAGTTAAATTTGCTGCTTGAGTGAATTTGTAAAAAAAATGTATTGTATGTACCTGTAATGGCAACTGAACGAATTTGTAGTTTTTATTCATCTACTAAATAAATAAAAGCTTTGCTGGTTAGTGAGAAACTGTTTGTTTGGATTAGTGAAATGCTTGCACACACAAATGCAACACTAAAATGCTTATTTAAATAAATAAGAGAATATTATTTAAAGCTTTGGGCAATCTTAAATTTAAAATGTATATTTCTATATGTATATTACTTGAATGTTGTTGTTTTTTCTAAGCTTTCAATAGTACAATAGTTTCATTCGCAAAATGGCATCGAAAATAATATATTTTTCCTTTCGGTTTTTGCATTTTTTAGCTGAAATGAAACAAAAAAAAAACATTGTGAAATTGCTGTATGCAATTGCTTTACAACTTGGCCAAAGAATACGTCGGCCAGGTTGAAAAATGGTAAAAGATAATTATTGCAAAAGGATAATATTTACCTGCGTTAATACCCATGTAGCGGTATATCATTGTCAATGAGCGCTAGAAATACATACATAAATACAGTCAAGGACACATAAATTGGTACTCTCAGTTTAAAAGAACTTGGAATGTGAAAAAGGTGTCAGCATATTTTAAGAATTTGCAAATGTCGTAAAAGACGCAATAAATTCAATAATTTTGCTTCTACAGAATTTAAAGCTTTTCTTAGAGTTGCACAGCAGACTTATATGAATAACGTTTTCACTTGAAGGTAATGCTTTGGTACTATTGATCTTGCTATATATAATCGTAAATTAATTCGAGCCTACTCACAAGTTCTACCTATACACCAAAATATTAAAAATATATAAAAAAAGTTTGATACTGAAGAGAGCGTGAAAATCGATTTGCTTCTAAACCAAAATTAACTAGAGATGATGTAAAGTCGTTTCAAATATATCACCTCTAAAAAGCTTCAAAAAGCTCGACAGCGGGGTAGGCTTTTGTAAGCTGCCCGCGGGCAAAGCTCTTTTAAGTTTATAAACATTTTGTATAGATCAAAATCTGGTCGCAGTGTTATAGGACTTGTGGTCCTTACCCCCTCTTCATGCTCGGAACTTAGCATGACAGCAGAGCCTTTTTCAAGTTTCCAATCAATTTCATACTAGAAGCTGTCTCAATGTGCATTTCAAGCACTACCAATTTTTATGACCACCACTGTATACTAAATGGTATTTACATATGTATGTATGAATGCGCGCACAAAAGAAGAAACAAAAAACGTCGGTTGTTATTGCGATTTTATGCCCATTGTTCTATATGTACTTATATTTATATACATTTAAAAGTATTTGTAATGTTAAGTTAATCGTAATTAAGGAGAACAGAAGAAAGACGGAAGTGGTGGTAGAGTATGGCAGAAGAACAATGGCAAAGTATTTAAAACCGCATAAAAAGCAGCAATGATCCTTTTCAACAAATACAAGTACAAGTACGAGTGCCAACAAGCAAGCGTATGTATGTATGTGTATAAATAATAACCAAAGGGAAATGAGGAGGAAAACATCAGACTAATCGCTCTGAGCCATACAATTTGCAGGTTTTCGTTATGCTACATACTTTTTATTTGTATTGTTTTTTTTTGTTGTTATAATGTCATGCAAGCAAAAAAAACCAAAGAGTGCACAAAATCAGATGGCAAATTAAGTAAAAAAGTTGTGCAAAAAAAAACAAAATGATTTTTAATTTGTGAGTT